CTAGTGTAAAAAAAATTTCGTTGTTGTTGTGTGAGGATGGGCAACGGTAGAGAATGCTAGAGGTTGTTTAGAGCTTTTGATCTCTTTTGTTTTACTTCGAATGGTTGGGCGTGCAAAAAAAACGACAAATGCGGAATTTGAGGGTATACGCTTTTACTTAACGTTTAAGGTTGCTCAAAACTATGAAACTCTACAAACTAATTTGCAAAATACAAATATACATATGTGTGCATATAATCACGCAAGGTGGCATGGAATCAAAAAGTTGATTTTACACAGTCGGTATTTTTGGGGTCTGGGGAATTTCTGTAATACGGTAATGTTTCGCTACCATCGTCGTGCTTGCTGCTGCCGGCAGCGGAGGATGGAGTCGCTGTCTTGGCAGCACTCGCTTCGGCCCCCGCTTCTGCTTCAGCTGCGGCTGCTTCACTCTCACCGCCGAAAGATGCTGCTACTCCCGCACCGCCCTCCTGCTGCTGCGCTTCGCGTTCCTTCTTCAGTCTCGCCTTACGTGCTGCCTTTGAAGTACAAATGTCACATTGTGTTTTGTTCCCTACGTTCAGCGTTGATTTCAATTCGAGTTTGGTTTTCGTTTTGATTTGATTTTTATTGAGTTTGTTTTTGTTTTTATGTATTTTGGGTTTTAAGTAAAGTCAGGAGTAGTTTTTATTAAAATTGTTTGTTGTCATCGTTGTTGAGTTTGTTAAATTAATTTAAAATTGGAAAGAATTCAAATTTGAAAATATCATTAAATTCGATCGATAGAATAAAAAAATTATGTACTATTGTCTTATTCTACGGTTAGTTACAGAAGAGAAGTTCTTGTCGCCAATGAACCGCAACTACTTGAATGAAAGATCGGATTAGAAAATTAGCTTCAAGTAAAAGTACGTATATCGTTAATTACATTTATAAAAATTAAATTAAAGTAAACTATGTAAATCATTATTAGACAAATAAAGCAACTTACTATGTCAATATTTATATCTAAGTGCTGCAATCTTTTTGCGCAAAAGTGTAGCAATAAATGTAGCAAGTTGAAAAGAAATCTGCCATAGGTCTGAGAATTTTCAATTCATGGCGCTTGACCACTCTTCAAAAAATTTTAGACACACATTTTCTGACAAGCTCAAAATTGAAGGAACACATTTATTGGTGGGTGTTAAAATTTAGAAGGAAGTATCGCTCAATATCTCAGGAACAAATTTTATAAATTTAAAAGAATGAAACGTCCTACTGCGAAAAACAAAAGCCCATTATAGGTCATCAAAATTTTTATTAAAAAAGAGATGAACTAAGCCAGAGCATTGATAGATCGTGAGATTTCTGTCAGCCTATTCTTATGGGATGAAGACTCTTGGCGCTTGAAATGAAACTTGGAATAAACTGGTGGAGCATTTAGACCATTTCAAAAGTACGGCTCATGAAGCATAATTCATTAAACTACTTTCTTATTTTCAAGAATTCAAAGTCTAGAGAGCACTGATAGAAGTCGTGGCAAAAGTGTACAGTTCTCTTTTTAAAGTAACTCTTTTTAAAGTACTCAGATATACTATTTAAGACAGTTCGCCTAATTTTATCTTTTAGTGATGTTATTATATTTGGATTTGGATAAAATAAGATTTGTTCTTGCATTCAACCTTGTCACATGAGCTATTGAATTAGTTATTAGAAAGAATTGACAATACCCTGTTATTTGTTTGTTTTATAGAAATAATTGGGAAATGCTTACAACTTTGCACATTAATGCTACCAAACCGATTGCAGCCTGCCACTAATTTCATAAGAAAACTATATTGTTTACTTACAAAAATACACCGCAATCGCACCGGAATCTTCGATCAGTTGAACCAGTTTCTCGCCTTCAAGATCTTCGATAACATCCCCGCTTGGATCCTTTTGCGTAAGCAACCAAGCAAGAATTTGTTCTTCTTCATAAAGATCACCTGTAATTAAAAATACAACAAACTATATGTTATAAATAAATATAGCGACTTATATCTTCTATTAATAAGTTTTACAAATACATAATGTTGTTGCAAGTATATGTAAGTGTGTGTCCAGCAAATTACATTAGCCATTCTGAAATAATTTGAAATCTTTAAAGTCATTGAAAACCACCTGTCCATTAATGTATGTCGTTTGGAACTAAACATAGTGCTGTCGCCAAGCATTCATTCTATCCCCCCCATTTTAAACCAACCGATCGCACTACGCCTAACTCATATTACATCCATAGTTTACTCACCGGCGTAGATAACTGGTTCCTTGGATGATGGCTTAAAGAATACAATTGCAGGTAGCGCGAAAACGCCAAATTCTTTTGCCATTTGTTTGTCGTCGATCTTCACGAAATCGATGCCCGCCTTATCGGCTTCGTCATCGATGTGCTCCACCTCAGCGAGTACTCGCGGGCATTGCTTGCATTCGTCGCTATCTGCGAAGAAAATGCACAATTCGAAACATACATACATTTATACAAATATAGAAGAACGATTGGTACTCACAGAAGATCACAGCCAAGTAATCGGACGATTTTCGTATTTTCTCAAACATTTTGCGATTGACCTTCTCAATGTGGTCAGTCATTTCCATGTTGGCAGGGCTGGTGAGCCAATCCAAAACCTCCTCTTCATCGTCGATATCGCCGTCATAGTTGATGTATTTGCCTTTGCGGAAGTATGTTATGCCAGGGGGATTGCGGTAGCCGTATTTCTTCGCCATTAGCTTGTCGTTCATTTTGACAATGTAGATACCGTACTCTAGCGCCTCATCATCAATCAATTCAATGTGGCGGAGAACGCGCGGTGCATCGGGATCGTCCTCTTTATCTGCAAACGGTAAGCGGAGTTCATAGGATCAATGAGGCAATTTAAGTTTTCGAGGTTCTAGCAATATACTACTAATTAAGCCAACTGGAATGGTTACTAATTAAATACAACGCAATTGAACGAATTGTGGCGGTTTTATGACAAGCAGTTACAGTTTTTAGTGGGCTAACTATCTAAACTAATAGCGCTAACACGCTTAAACACTTTTTACAGTTTTTATTTTCATCGGCTGTTCTTGTTGTTGTCATAAAAACAACGTTAACTTGTAGTCGGGCTGATATTGTTGTTGCTATAGCTTGTTATTACATTTACTTAGTGTTGTAATTATTGTTGTTTGCGTTTTACTTACAAAAGACGACGGCCAGAAAATCTTTGGTGTTAATATATTCATTTAGAGTGTCACGATCTATCAGCTCGATACTTTCATCGGCCTTTTGTTCCAAAATCCATTTGAAGACGACTTGTGGATCTTGGATATTGCCTGTTTATTTTGGATGTAAAATTATTAAAACATATGTAAATAAATGGGGTTTTCATTTTACTGACGATTAGCTTATAAACAAATGTCTTGAGATATTATTACCTGTTTGCTGCAGTTTGCCGATCAATTCAAAAGAGTTACGAAGCGTCAAAAAATATTATTATAAACCCTGTACTTACGTAACTACCTGAGTACAGAACATTTATGTGTATTGTATTATACAGGCTATAAACTCCGTAAATCGGTGCTAATATCTTGATGGCGGAAATTTCCTACGGCGGATGAATGTATCAGAGACAAATTTTGTAAATCAGATGATTGGGGAAATAAGTCCTGTATTTTTTTTTTTGCGTTCAAAATGTGTCGACCGTCCAAAACGACCTGGCATTGTGCTTAATTCGATTTTAAATTGCAACTTTCACCTCGGCAACCTGACCTTCCGATAACCTGAGTACCTGCGATAGATTACATTTGCTATGAGGTCGGAATTAGTCATATTGAAATTGCGGTGTGAAGGAAAGTGAACAGAATCGTAACTTTGGCCGCCAGTACAATGATCAAATTCGAATTTCGTTTCAGCGAACGTCAGAACGTCAGAATTCATTCAAAAAGCTATAATACTGCCCTTCTTGTTAACGGAATAATACAAATGTGAATTTAGAATATCTCTTTTACTTCAGTGTCGACCGCCTACAAGGAAAAACTGATTTATGAGCGATATCAAGAATAACACACTAATTTCACACATAACACCAACGCATATACACTTACACACACACAATCACGCACACTTTTATGCTGAAAACAAGAATACTTCTTCTATCAGCACCGCCGAAATAAAAAACAACAAATGGAATATATTAAACTATTTGAAATATTTTTATGGCTTAGAAGAAAAGCCGGCAATATTTCAAAAACAAAAAAGTTGGGATATTCAAAATAAGCAAATAAATTAAAAAATGAATTTTATTATTCACATCTTTGCTGGAAACTCTTGTAAATTCCAATTTTCCTCTTCATGCATAAACAACAATTTATTAAGTTATTAATAAATGTATTTTCTCCTACTTTATTAATATCCACGATCGCGGTCATACAAGATTTAGTTTTTCCGGCTTCCCCTTTTTACTTTAATTCATCATCTGATCTAAATGACTTGTTCCCTGTCTGTTAGGGATACAATTTTTGCAAATTGTTAAAAATATGTTTTTCAAAAAAGTCAGAATAAGAGGAACATTGAGGGAAGTCGACATCCAATCCCATGCACTCGAGGGTTTTAGCCTTCATGAGATTAATAACAGAAGTGGGTAGAATTCAAACACAAAGGTTCATAATTATATACATATTACATATTTTCTTATATATGTAGATGTATTCAATATGTAGTTTATGTACTTCAATATTATGCAAACACCATAAATTGGAACTAAAATAACTGTGATAAGTGCTTTCTAGAATTTGCCTCGTAGTGCCGAGGAGAATGCTTTAGCGGTTAATAGAGATAAAGGGCGTGGTTCATTTGTAGAAAAATAAATGTGTGTTAATATTGTTTAGGGCTCTATGGATGAATTCGGGCTCTTTTGAGTTTTCTTAAATGCGTTTGTGGTTGGATTTTTTGTATAAATCTGTTTATTAAATTTCTAAAAATTTCAGTTTTAAATTACAATTTTACTAATAATTTTTTTCCGTAAAACATTTGTTTTTGACAATTGAAATTATTTTGCTTTTATCGCTCCGTGGTACTTTTATTTTTAACGGCGTACATACATGCGTAACTCGGTGTGCCCGAGTTTTTTAAATCGTTGTACATTTCAAAAAGTCGCTATTGTTCAACACTGTTTTGTAAAATGTTACTTAAGCTTAGTTTTTGTTTTTTATTTTTGAAAAACATTTACATTTCGATAGTTTGTTTCATTTAATCATAATATTGTGTATGTGTGTGTGTATTCTTTATTATAATTAAAATTAGAAAATTGCATTTATAACAAGTGCTTCAACTTCGTTAAATTATAACAGCGTTTCCAGGCGTGCACACACACATCCACACATAGCAGAGCGAGATGCTAATGTAACTAGCCCCCAACGTGCATATGTGTGTATGTGCGTATGTAGGCAACCGGCGTGAGTTTAACGGTATTTTAAATACCGGCACAACAATAAATAAAATTACAAACAGCCAGAGGCACCACCTAGGGGCTCCCCTGCATAGTATATATGTATACGTATTTATATACATATGTATATACATTGGTTTGTGTGCGTGTGTGTGTGCTTGTGTGTTACATTCGCTTTGCAACAACACTCTTTCACACAAACTACAAAATTTTTTCTACAACAAAATATAAAAAACTTTTTAATCGAAAACCATGCCCCCGCTATCCGCTAAGTTTAGTTAGCGCTTTATGTTCATATATAAATATATTAGTTATATATGCATTTATGCCTAGACACATGCAAAGTAGTTATTATTGTTGTTGTCTTCAGACGGTAGGGCATTCGGTTCGATTATAACAATGTTCTTCACTTACTTCTTATGCTTTCTTATCAGCTCCGAAAATAGTTAACAGATTTTTGCATTATAAATACATAAGTACAATATATTACATAATAAATAATAATAAAAAGTTAGCAATAAAATTTTCAAGTCCCCTACATTGTAAAGTGTACACAAAACGGCATAAAACGTGTAAATGTATAGTATCAAAAGTGTTAAGTACAGTTACAAAAATTGTTTGTTGTAATTATAAAATAAATTTTCCAACTTTGGAGATTATCAAGTGAGTTTTGTTTTTGTTTTCTTCTTTAACAATAAAAGTTTGTAAATAGTTAAGATTCTCTAGTATAACAGTATAAAAATTAAAATAGTTAACTGACATTTTTTTTTTTTTTTATTTATCGAGTTTTCAAGTACAAATTGCCTGCAGTTGGACCATGTCCTTATTTTATTGACGTTCTTTGATTCTAATGAATTTTTAAGGCTAGTCGACGAACGGCTATGGAGAGCAAGAGCAAACGAAGTGGCTTATGTGAATACACATATCTATCAATGTGAGGACATATAGTACATACATTCATTTTAGTTGGGGTAAATCAAAAGCGGGGCGTAAAAAGTGAACGGAAAAATTGGAGCTTTTTTACTAAGCAACTACAAAAAGGAAACTAACGAAAAACAAATACAGATTTACGCATAGCACAGTCTTGAGTCATGACCCTTGACTCCCGAGCAATAGAAAACGTCTGCATTTGCCATAAGTACTTTTCTAATGAACGAGATAACCAGATATTTCTTAATCAAGTCCATGCAATTGAGATAGAAGTACTTTACTTAATTTGAACATTTTTCACGTTAACAACTGTTCTGCGCAAATGCAGTATAGCAACTAAATCTAAATAGAAGGCGATTAATTTCTGTTTGAAGTTAATTACTTCTGAGAACTGAAGAGTTGGATTGGATTGAGTTGTCTGTCGAACGAACAATCTCTGCAAAGTAGTGGAACATTTGCTATATTTGTTGTTGCTTTTCTTTGGGGTTCTTATTTCTCTTGTTGTTGTTATTGTTCATTTACGACAACTGTATATCCAAATCACGCATCGGTGATTATATTTGATAATGGATTTTTTGTCTCTAGTAAAACTGATCAGTTTCCAATGTTGTTCTTATTTTCGGATTTTGTATTTTCAAGATATAATTTTTGCTTTATTATACTTATGCACACACTTATGTATAACCTTGTGTAAGCGGTGTGCCATGGCAGTATTTCTCAAGGACAACTAATTGGGCTACACATTTGTATGTCGGCGTGTATAGTTCCATGGATGTTTTGTTTTATTAGTTCATGGGATTATCCTGATTTTCGTAGTTTGTCAAATGGGGTGACGGTGGCTACTAATTTAGTCACTAAATATTTCATTAGTTAAGCCATTCACTATCGGAAAACGTTAAAATGGGTATGCGGTACAACTATTTCCGAGGTTTGAAAGCAAAGGCTCTGCATAGTGAATAGCTCTGTTCGATATATTTTAGTATTCATGCCCTCGCTGAGGTCCAATTTAAGTATGTATGGAAGTATTTAAAATAATTTAGCCAACAAACTGTTAAAATTGTGTTGTTCTTGTTATCAATTTCATTAAAAAAAATGTCCAATTGTTTGGGATGCTATTTTGTAAGAGCGCATGATACAATGCTACTGAACTATACTTAGTTATGCACTCCCTGTGATAGGGTTCTACCCTATTTTTTTTTTTAATTATTCGGGACCAAATAGCTTTTGCACACAACAGAGCAATTGTATGTTGTTGTTAGTATTTTCCAGTTTTTTTTTTTAATATGTATTGTAAATATGTACATATTTCTTTTGATATGAATCTTCACAAGGTATAATTAGTAGTGGGTATTTTCTATTATCTTAGTACATATGAACAATGCAGTGTAGGTGTTTGTTTGTGTGTGTAAATTATTAATATTATGGTTAGATAGTGCTTTTTCAATTATATTGCTTCCTTATTCCCAAAGAGAGATATCCTGAAAAAGGTCATATAGATTTTTTAGTCGTTTATGCAAATAATAAAAGCCTGCAAGACACAGAAGAAAAGAGAAGAAGAATAAAACAATCACATAAAAATAGGAAAAAATGTCTCCACGCACATTCTCCAAAAAAATGCAAATGTTCATATGTATGTATGTCATGCAAACACCACGTCATTGCATACATACATATATACAAACATAATTGATTTGGTATCTCTTACATATATACATATGTACATATGTCAAATTAGGCAACGAATTTAATTCTATCGACATACAAACTGGCACTTAACTACCAGATAATATATCTGCCAAAGCCGAACATACCGGTCTTCACATTCAATTTATCGCCATCTTTGGTCTTTTTCGACGATTTTCCACTGTCATAGGACTTATCGTTGGCCACCTGCTTGTTGCCACCAGTAGATTTCTTTGCTGCGGAGCCGCTAGATTTACGAGGACTGGTGTAGGAGACTTTTCCCATTGGTGCAGACGCATCATCGTCGTCGTCATCATCATCATCGTCTTCGTCGTCATCACCGCCTGCGTCGTTCTTCACAATTTTCCTGAATGGGGTTTTGCTATCCTTATCCTTTTTATGAGCTGCTTTGGCCGACTTGCCGGTTGCACCTACACCACCGCTCACTGTGGCCGGTCCAAATTGAAAGTTGCCCGCAGAGCTGCCGCCGCGCTTATTTGCCGCGTCGCCGTCGCCGTGGCCGATGCGTTGTGCGGTCATTTTGGGAACTTTCGTTGACTTTTCCAGTTTAGTGGGACAACATTGGAATGGTTTGTAAGCGTTCGGTGCGAAATTACTACCACGCCGTGCTGAGCCGCCGTCGTGACCCAATCCAACATAGAAACATTCGTCATCTGTGTGCAAACAAACAAAAACATTTTGTCAGATTGTTTCTCAAAAAAGTATTGGCATCTAAAGACAAAAAATGCAAGTCTGCTAACAAAGCACGTCTATACAAACTTCATAAACGAATGATTTGCGGTTGTTATTAAACGGTTTCTTTTAATTACAAAACATAATATATGCAAACTAAATGTTACTAAGTAAAGTAGTTAAAAGAGAGCGCAAAAGAGTGGTGGAAAAGTACACGAAAGTAACGAAATAGTTTTGTTTAGTTTTCTAGTTGCTTGCTTTAAACAAGGTTTTTGTTTGTACTTTTAATGGTAGGTAGTACACATATTTAACGGTACATTTTTCGCAATTTCTTTGATATATCGCTTAACACAAATTCTTTGGAGCGATATTTGAAATATTCAAACTAATGAAAAATCACAGATAAGTTAGTAAAAACTTACTTTAAAATTTCAAGTTGCAAATAAGTTTTAGAAAAGTTTCTTGTTTATTTATTATCAACGTTTTCTTCGATTTCTCGTTTGTGCTTTTTTCAAATAAAATTTGGAAAATTTTAATATGGATTTTGGAGCAAAGCGTGCTTCACCTACTAGTACTTTCATCACACAATATGCTCTTTTGTATGCCCAGCCAAAGAAACACACAAAATTGACACAAACAGAATTTATAACTGACAAAATGCTTTTGATGCTGACATTCTTCTAAGTATGTGCTATATATGCTAAGCGATTCAATTGTATTCAAATCGATATGAGTGACTAATTTTTATAATCATTTATTTAATTCCATATACATATCTAAATATATTTATAATCAATTTGTCAATTTTTCTTGGTATTTATTATATTTTAAATACTTTCAGTTGGTTTGAGATTTCTTATTTCATTTTTCTTTTTGTTTGTTTCACATAAATGTAGTTTATATTACAGGAAGAATGATTTTGCTTTTAGTTTAGGACATAAGTACGCATTAATAATTAAACAAATACAACCATTACTTATAAAATAAGAAACTCAAAAATAAAAGAAATCATCCACAAACGACAATGATTATACTTGTTGCATTTTGTTATTAATCCCCTTTATTAACTTGGTTTTTGTTCGCTCGAAAAAATCAAGTTGCAGTCTTTTTCGTAAAAACATTGTGTCAGCTATGTTATTTTTAATGTATTTGTTGTTAGTTCGTTGAATCTTCGAAAATCAGTAAAATTGCCGAATGAGCAAACGAAATTGTAAAAATTTTTGTTGCTGTTAGGCAATTTGGGAAAATTTATAGTGGGTTGCATACATATGTATGTACATACAAATTATTAGACATTAGTTAAGGGACATACATTTTCAAACTGTTTAACACAATCGCATTTCCTTTAGGCTGTTGGCTAAGGGGCACGAGTTAGGCTACGGATAGTCAATAGACAAAATTGGTTAGTGCTTGTGATCGAATGCACCACTTACAGAGTTCACTCAAAACTTTCTAAACTTGCATTATTTTACGAATTATTGATTTCAAGCGTTCGTGCATACTGAGGCACCTATATTAAGAGCTAATTTATAAATATTGGCCTGATTGGACACACACGACTACAGATATCATCTGAAATAGCGTCATTAAGGGGTCATTCATATATCCAAGAATATGGATTTTTGTAAATTGGAATTTATTCGAATTAAAATTTACATGCTTAAAGTACCAGAATATATACCATATGATGCTCTTATAAGATTATTAAGGATGAATTAAATCCACCATTTTCTAAATATGGGTAATGAAATAGCACTAAATCTGTTCATCCCGTGCGATATGTACTACATATATCCAATTAGCTATATAGCATGTACAAGAACTGAAGCCGGTCGGTTATTCTTAAAAAATTACGCCAGTAATAACGTAATCATCAATGGCGACCGTTAGACTTTTTCCTCTGGGGATACGTAAAGTCTAATGTCTATGCGGGTTACAAATCGAAATGCTCGAACAAGTCATCGAAAATTGGACTCAACCGATGGACCATCTGTGGCGTAAAAAAATAAATGCCAAAGAATGTTCATTGCTATCATAATAAACATTTCCCATTAAATTTGAAGTTTCTATATTTTTTCTTAAAAAAAGTATTAAACCCCGAAATGTATCATCGTTTACATGGGCCATTATATCTTAGGGAAAGTTCCCTCTGCCCCCTAAGTGGATAGGTAATAGTGTATTGGTGTTTTTAGTTTTGAAAAGATTTATATTAGTATCATATTTTCGTTTCCAAATGCATCTCGTAAACCAATTTGGAACTCAACATGAAACCCTTTCAGGAGGACTTTACGTAATCGTGCAAAGCATTTTGCTGGGTGGCTTATGTATTTCAGGACGCATTATATATGGTAATTACAAATTCGATGCATATATTTACTTTCGCACACGAAAAGCACTGTTACTGTTGCTGATTTGAGCCAAAATTTTGAACATATTTAAGTCGTTTGTTTTACCTTCAGCTTTCGGTAAGAAATGATTGGCTTGTGTGCCTTTCGGCATTGCACGATTATGCTTTGACACTATGGTATATCCTGTATCGGTTAAGATAAACATATACATACACGATGTTAATTTTTTCTTAATTAAAATGTAGTAATTAATAGGTAGGTCGTGAGCATACTCGTTTATATGTAAATTACATCAATAAGGGGAGGGGTGGGGAGTGCCACAATACTAAGTCTTCGTTTGCCAACAATGTTTCTAAGGATTTACCTAACTTATCTAAGAATCGTTTGTTGCAAAGTTCAGTAGCTTGATGAATTTTCTGAGGTTTTATTGGCTTGCGCAATTTTGGATGACTTTTAACATCTTTCGTATCATCATCATTGTCGTCGTCCTCGTCCTCGTCCTCGTCGTCGTTTTCGTTTTCGTCATCGTCATTTCTGTCCTTATTCGTTTTGCTTCTATTCGGTTTGCTGCGCTGATATTGTTTTTTACTACGATCATCGTAGTCATCATTATCCTCCGATTTACGGCGCTGGTTTTTTCGTTGTGACATTGAGATGTATTTTCTTTTTTTGACATTTTGCCTTTCAACTTCATCATCCTCATCCTCATCTTCGTCGTCATCATCGTCATCATCGTCATTATCGTCATCAATAACATCATCATCCTCATCTTCGTCATCATCATCATCATTATCGTCATCAATAACATCATCATCTTCATAACCATCATCATTCTCATCATCATTATCATCATCACCATCTCCATCACCATCATCATCATCATCATTATTATCATCATCTTCTTGGTCATCATTATCGTCGTCTGTCTCTATTAAACGACTTTTAAAAACTATTTTTTTAAATTGTACTCTTCGTGACCCCGGCTTTCTATATCGCACTCGCATGTGTGGTTCATCATCACCTTCGTCGTCATTATCGTCGTCCCCAGCATCATTGGCATCGTCATCACCGGATTCATTATCCTCATCGTTTTCGTCGTATGGAATTCTACGCTTGATTAGTTTATATTTCTTATCAGTTTTGTCATCAACATCCTCGTCATCATCATCATCATCTTCATCAATTTTTTGTTGTGTCCTAATATTTTTTTTTAATCGTTTTAGTTCCTCTTCTTTACTTTTCTCCGCTTTGGGGTAAACCAACTTGGTTATTTCATCCTCGTCGTCGTCGTCATCATTGTCATCATCATCATCGTCATCGTCATTGTCTTCGTTAATGTCATCGTCTTTATCAAAGTACCTTCGTCCTTTTTTGATTCTCCGTTTAATTTGATTTTTGATTTCGTCATCGTCGATATCTTCCTCATCATCGTCATCATCGTCATCGTCGTCATCGTCGTCATTATCATCATCATCACCATCATCATCATCATCATCCTCACCTGTATCGACAACAGTTTAGTTTTGATAATTGACCAAAGCTTTCAACTTAATACCATTGAAAGCGGTATTCAATTAACAGAAAAAGTATTTTCGATTAAAGTAATACGAGCTGTAGAGGGATGTGGTTGAAAATCAGGTGAGTCAATTTGAATTCAAAAAATGCACATGAGTAATGAAGGCTTTGATACGTAAACGATAGACGTATTCATAAACTACAAAAGTATGTTTTTTTCATTCAACTAAATATACGCACCTCTTCGTTATGGATATGGCCTAGACTGTCAGAATTGCTTTGATAATTCGCTTAGCCATACGTTCAATGTATGGCGCTAACAAAGTTAACAAATTTTATTTTTTATCATTGCTCAATCGGTGTATTCACTAAGGTAGATATACTGAGATCTCAGTGTGTGTATAATATACATACTACATAAATAAGGAATCTCATGAGTCAAAGAATATGAATATATTGACTGAGTCTTAATGGTATGTGGCGTGTGTGTCTCGTGTTAAAGGACTAGGAATAGAATTGTATGTGTGTTCGCAACCGAAACTGGAAAACAAAACTTTCGAACAAAGAACACTTACTCTTCTGATTGATCAGCCACTGCAACACACGATTTTCATTTTTGAGATTACCTGTCGGAAAAAGTAGAAACATGTGATTACATATTTATGCAATATATCGTTTTAGTATTTAGGTACACGGAGCATATTTCCCAACTCACCGTCATACATGATTGGAACGCCCGTTTCATAATAGACCAAAGCTGGGAATGCAAAAATTCCTATTTCATGCGCCAACTTCACGTCATTCGATTTGACAAATTGTATGCCGTGCTTGTCGGTATCATCATCAATGGTCTCTAATTCCTCCAAGATTTGTGGACACGACTCGCATTTGTCATCATCTAAATAAGTGTATATTTTGAATCAGAGAATGCAAATTGATTTAAACTATGTATATTACAGAAAAACACAGCCAAGTGTTCTACGTCGTTAATCAGAACTTGCAAAGTTTTGCGATCGACAGATTCGATAACGTCAGCTGTGGATTCATGGAGGTCGATAACCCAATCCAGAATTTCTTCCTCCTTCATGAGATCACCTGAAGCATACAAGAATCGACAATTGCTATAAATCATTATATACATAAGAATGAACTTCCAACTATTGCTTACCATCATATATCGTGCGGAACTTGTGTCTGTAAAATGCTAATGCCGGCAAGCTAGCTAGATCGTATTCTTTATCAACATCAGGATCCGAAGTTTTGATAAAGTCAATATCCTTTTCTTCACATTCATCATCGATGTTCTCCAGTTCATTCAAAATCTTTTGTGCGCGCTTATCGCCCTCACGGTCTGTAAAAAGGTTACAAGAAAAAGCGTGCATAAGAAGTGTCCAAAAGACTTTGATCTTCTTTCACTTACAAAAGAATACCACCACGTGATCATTTTCCGACAGTATCTTATCCAACATTTTCGTGTTCACTTCCTCAATTTTACCCGGAATCTCAAGAGTGTCTTCATCTGTGATCCATGCCAATACCTCGTCTTCATCATCTAAATCGCCAGTAAAAACTAATGGATCACGATTTCTGAAGAATACCAATTGTGGATAACTCTTTATGTTGTGCTTCTTGGCGATGTTGGTGTCCTCGGTGGTGACAAAAATGATACCTGCTTCATCCAGTTCATCGTCAATGCTCTCCAATGCATTCAATGTCTTATCGCATTTTTCACCCGGCTCACAGGGACCGGTGAAGAATACCACTACATATTCATGGTCGTTGATTAACTCGACTAGTATTTCATCGGTGACCTCTTCAATGGTGGCGGTACGCTTCTGCAAAATCAGCCATTCCAATACTTCGTCCTCGTTCATTAGATCGCCCTCGTAGAGTGCTGGTATTTTGTTCTCGAAATAAATGAGTGCAGGCAAATGGTCTAAACCGTATTCTTTAGCTTCGGCGGCATTGTCAATGCGTACGATCACAATGCCCTCCTTTTCGAGTTCATCGTCAATATTCTCCAGTTCGTTGAGTACGCGAATATCTTGTTTATCATCCTTGTCATCTGATCAAAAGTACATAAAATCCGTTAGAACATGTCAAGTTTTTCTTTCGGTGCTTTCTTGATAAAAAACAATACAAATGAAACATTGAAAATATGAAAATGTGCACTGGGTCGAAAATAGCAAAGATTGTTCGGAACGCATTCAACACATACAATTATTTTACAGCAAAGATTATTAATTCTTTCCTCTTTAAAGTGTGAAGGGTATTACAAATTATAGTCGAAAGGTATCCGATCTCAAATTTTGTTACACTAAATGTACAGTTGGTGGTCAAAAAATAGTGTCGCAAGTTATAATATTGCGAAAAGGATACAAACTTACAAAAAATCACGGCCAAATGTTCAGTATTTTCAACCAACTTATCCTTCATCTCGTCGGTAACTTCGGGGATCTCCGAGTGACGCTTCTGATGTACGAGCCAACCCAAGAGTTCGTCTTCTTTCATCAAATCACCTTCGTAAATATGCGGTATGCCACGTTCGAAGAAGACAATCGACGGTATTTCATCGATACCCCACTCCTTCGCTTCACTATCGTCATCAATTTTGACGAAAGCGATATCATTTTGATCACACTCATCGTCGATATTCTCCAGTTCGGCTAGTACCTTTTGCGATTTCTTTTGGTCCTTGTCGTCTATGGGGACAAAAATGAACAAAACCATCAATACTTTGAACGAAAGAAGTTTTTAGATACAAAAACCCTAATTCTTCCTGTTGCAGTTAAACTTCAATACACTAATTTACTAAATGCCAAACGTGAGTGGAGAAACTCTATCGCCTAAGACTATCTACTATTACTGACCTATTCAAAATCGCATCTCAGATCTTCATCAGATGTTAGTGGTTAGGTTTCGTAGACACAACAACAAATATCGATCGCAACAAAACTTTAGAGCTCACGTAGACGACACAGATGCTTGCACAACCATTTGTGGTAGTTCTAAATACTAGTCAGCCGCTTTTCGTTATACTGAAAAATTTAATAAGTCATTGCTAACAATATATGATCCTGAGAGAGGTTTATAACACCGTCTTAAGTTTAGGTTTGTAATTGGATCGGAATTATAAGGTAATCTTCAATAATTGCCTGCACTGGCCATACACATATTTGATTGTAACTGACCTGATCTTGGCGCTACATTTATTGGCTGTGCAGACATCTGTGTAGTTTGTGCGATAATTTTAGTTTAATAAATATTTTTATTCATTAATACCCAAGTGAGCACATAAAGCATAATTTAGGCTTAGCGCAAAAAGGCTTTACGTTCTATCTTACTTATACACCATGAAAGAAGATTGCAACAACATCTATTTCACGCAAAACACACTCACGCACGAACATCGAATATCTACATCTAAATAAACTGACTATGTACAAATTGGGTAATTTTTGCTTTCCTTTCTGGAAGGAAAATGTATTATTGCAAATAAGGCTAATATCACTGCAGCGAGTACGAGATCGCTTAGGCTAGCTCGTACTAGCTTCATTCGCCAATTTGAGCTAAATTTCATGCAACAACTTACAGTAGAGCACAGCGACATAGGGCATCTTTTCTATTATCAAATCCAACATCTCGTCAGTTATATCCTCAATTTGATCGGAAGTGGTTTGCTCCTCGAGCCATTTCAGCAATTTCTCTTCGTCCTCAAGATTGCCTTCGTAAATCGTTGGAATGCCTTTTTCAAAGTAAATTAGTTTAGGAACTTTGTTTATGCCGTATTCGATGGCTTCTTCGGGATTGTCAATTTTCACAAAAGTTATACCCAATGCATCACATTCATCGTCAATATTCTCCAATTCTTCGAGTACTTTCTGTGATTTCTTATCATTGTTATCATCTAAAATGGGGGAAATGAGTCATTAACACGGCACGCTAATGAGGCAGAAGAGGATCAGAAGTAGTCAATTGATTGGTATAGTTACAGAATAGCACAGCCATAACACGGCCTTCCTTCACCATCTTGTCAAGCATCTCATCTGTAACATCCTCGATTTCGTCATGCTCTAATTGTCCCACCAGCCAGTGGAGTATCTGCTCCTCAGCCATGAGATCACCGTCATAAATATTTGGAATTTGTTTTTCGAAATATACTATTGCCGGAATCTGTTCACACGCGCGCGCATAAACATTTTTATTAATCAAATGTATGGTTTCTCAAAATTGTCATTCGTTATGCATTACCGTATCGATTCCATATTCGGCTGCGGCTTTTGGATCGTCAATTTTCACAAATTGAATACCGTGTTTGTCGCAGTCGTCGTCAATTTGTTCTAGCTCTTCCAATACGGTCATTGAATCATCATTACCATGATCATCTAGTTGTGAAACGTATGAGAATCATTATTCAGTCAGTATTCATATTTGAAGTATTATAATTTCGAATTCGTACAGAATAATACAACCAGATTATCGATATTGCTGATTAGTGTGGACAGCGTTTTGGCCGTAACATCTTCTATGACGTCATCTTCATCACCGGTAGATTTATTTTGCACCAGCCATTCTAAGACATCCTCTTCTCGGGACAATTCACCTGGATAATACATATATTATATAGCATAATCTTTATCTAACGGGGATTAGGATAGCTGTGATGTGCGGCCATTAAAGGGCAGTAATTGCCTTGTTCTTCATACCTTCATATATGATCGGCGTCTGATGGCGATAGTAAACCAATACTGGAAGATTGCCCAAATTATATTCCTCGGCCAATGCCTCATCATGAATCTTGACAAAACCAATGCCCAACTGATCTGCTTCATCGTCGATATTCTCCAGTTCTTGCAAAGCTTTGGCACACTTGCGACATTGCGGCTTATCTGTTCGGGGGTGGAACAGATATTTGTTAATATCGAGTTCTGATAATCGCAACAATAATACTGTATTTATGGAGGAATCGATAGGTTTCGATCGGGAATCGGGTGCATTTTAGGCGTTGAGCAGCGAATGCCGTGCATACTACATATGTGTAATAACAATGCGGGGCGGTGCGAGGTATCTACATTATAGTACAAATATGTGAGGCGGCGCTGAGCGCGTGTTTTTGTAGATATATATACTATGTGGCTGCGTGTACGTGTGATTTTACGCGTGTATGTATATATATGTGGCTATGTGTATAGGTATTGTCGTATTCAATTTGTTTGCATTCAACTTATGTTCATAGGTTGTTTAATCTTTTATTGAGGGCTTATTTCTGAGGGAATTATATTTCATATTTCAAGTTCATGCACAATTAAACATAATATTTAGCCTGAAATTCATATATATGTACATACATATGCTATACCAAAGAATTGTCCTCTGTCATTATTTATATACATAACATCTGTTTGTGAGTATGAATTCAAGTCATAGTTGTAATTTTAGCTTAGAGACTTATTTTTAAATATTTAACAAATGGACGCAAGCTTTTAGCATTCAAAAATAGTAAAATTAATTATTCTTAACGGAAAATTTACAACCTATTGTATTAGGTTGAGATTTCAGAATCGGCGTCAGCTCCGCAGATATATTGCATTCACATTGATTTCGCATTTTCCGCATAATCCCGTCAGAACAGAATTTTATTGAATTGCTAGAATTCTTTTATTGTGATAAATTAAAGTGATATTTATTCCTCTAATTTTTCCGCTTTTTCTAATTTCCCCATAGCCATGTTAAACAGTAACATATTTATTAAGTAAATGCATTGTTCGCTGCGAACATGTAAACAAACGATTCTGGTTCTGTGAAGAGAGCATTCTCAAAGTTTAAAAGCTTTACCTCTTTCTCTGTAAGCTACCGACTTCTCTTTCTTTTGACTTTCTATATTAACGGCGCATGCTCGTGCAAATCGGGAGAATTCAACGTGAAAATACACCTACACACCGAAAGCGTGGTGTGGTAAATTTCATTGAAGAACAGCGAGCATTGTAGTTGTATCATATTTTGTTTTAATTTTTTTTTATATTTTCAAGTATAATTATTTATATTTAATTAAATTTATATATGATTGTTTTCCTTTTTTTTTTGTTGCAAATCCTCACTAAATACAAACGATGTCCTTCAAACAAGAAAATCAAAACTGCCACCAAGTCAACATACAAAGTCGTTTCTTAGTCCGTTGCTATCATCTTTCTTACCAAGTTCTAAGTGAAATTTAATTGGCCCAAAGCCAAATTTACATTTGATTGTGTATTTTATTAAAATGTTTTTAACGCATAAATTTCGTGAAATTACTCATTACAGTTCGGAGATGTGTGCAGAGCCAAATGCTCATACGTTTACATATTATATTTACTAGCAATTTATGGCCACAACAACGATTTTAAGTAATAAAATGAGTTAATTTTGAATTTTTCATATTCCACTGTGGAAACAATAATAATTCACGGAAACTTCTTGACAACTATTTCGAAGCGATACGCTACCATAAAAGCAACAACATTTTACCTCACAAAGATTGGCTATGGTGGTAAATGTCCGCCATTTGCAATTGTAATTACGAATGTTTTAGTTTTCTATGAAGGGATCAGATTGCTTAATTCACTCTTCAATTGACCAATACGAGCATTAACACTAGACGCCTCCATATGTGGACAGGTCCCATAGCTGGACGGTGGGTGTCCGATTATGAGGCATTTCACCGTCTATAAAGTTAAATGTGTTGCTTCGAAACAAGCCTGACTACTCCACGGTATTCGACATAGGAGGAGTGTGCGAGAATGTCAGGATTTATGGTCAAGAGTTCGTGTGACATAATCATTGGCAGGATAATTGCCTTGTTGTAATGGGAGAATGGTTGATCAAAAAACCGAAACGTTTTTAACGAAACGTGGAAGACAGCTCCATTTAAGGGAACGTTCTTTGTGATATAAATATGCACATGGCTGTGGGTTTGCCTTACCGTTTAACTGGAGCTGCGATGAAACAAATTTATATTACTAAATACTTAAGTTTATACATATGCACAAGACCTCAAGTAGACATGAGAATTGCTGACACTAACGACTGTTGCATTTGTAAAACAGAAATTCTTTGTCTCCAAATGTGCCCTGCGACCGCACACGCCCATAATTGTGTATACTCATATGATATGCAAGTGGGAACAAGTTGCTCGCGTATACGCCCCCCATTACAGTACATCAAACACAAGAAGCTAAAACACGAAAAAAGCCAAAAGGTATACACCAGGTATTTCGATTTAAAGTGCAATTTCGGCAGTGCCAACCTTTCGCATTTCTCTCAAAATGAAATGTTTTACATTTAAATTTCACTCAACACACAAGCGGCTATATAATTATGTTCGGATAGCTAGCTATTGTATTGTGCTTGTGTTTGTGTGCGCTTGCTCAAGTTGCACCCAAACTAAATTATGTGTTTTACTGCGAATGCAATTAAAAATTCGGTTGGTCCGTCCAAGCGCAGAAATTAATGTTCGACTGTCAATTCACAAGCCATTTACACAAAGCGTTTGCCAGCGGCGAAATCGGGACAGTCGCAGCCAACAAGAACATGGCGAAGATCATTCAATGGCGGCACACGCGCTGGCTATGTTCGCCTTCGCCCATACGAGACACTTGTAGGCCACACCAAATAGCGCCATGAAAAGCAACTGCAACACAAAGTGGACCAGACTGCTAGCCAACCTGCGAGCCCCTGTCTGCCGCTCACTTCCCACCGCAATTCAGGCCACTGCTTACGCCCCCACAAGAACAGTTTTGCATTTTAGTCGGCGATACGAAAAATAGGGGAAGATTTTTAATTGCATTCCTAAAACACCTCCTTTTGGGTGAAAACATTAGCCATTCATGTTGTGATGTCGGAAAGGAACCGACTTCGGGATTACTACATACATAAAAGTGCTAGCAACTAATGTTGAATACATGGTTAGCAGCAGCTTGTGGGACGACGCTAGCTAGCAAAGAAATTAATCCCAATAGCAACACGAGTATGTCTATAATCCTAGTAAGTGAAGGTAGTGGGCAATTCCAGCAAATAGGTTTCGCTATTGGCATAGGATCCACAATGTTATGGAAATAAACTAGCCAACCGCTTGGGATATTAAGATTGGCTTCGATACTTTTATAATAGACGATTGTAGACGATTGTATCCTTCTTTGTATCTACAACGCATTGAATCGTTAGCTTGACACCCGAACGCAGCAACAAAATGGATCCTTTCCGATCTTTTGGAAGACGTTAGCCTTGTATTTGTTCAACGTTTTCGTTTACTCGTTTACTTTCATTCTCGCCATAGACGTAAATGTGATATGTCCATAAAAGTTGACCTTGAGAATATTATTTACGAGTTCATTGCTTGTAAATTTGAAATCAAGCTATACAAATGTAGGTTCGCATGGTAAATCATATACACACATGCCAAATTGCAAGTGTGTGCTGGTCCATATGTATGTATGACTACTACGTAAGTAGGTTTGCATAAAAAGAATAGAAAATCAATATGTGTTTGTCGCCGCGTTTCTTGTTTTTTTCTTTCTTATTGCCCCTTTGTGTTCGCCTTGCCGCTGGCGCGAAATCGTTTCTATGCTATTTTTATCAGCGATTGTAGGTGGACACTAACCTGCCTGTGGCTGCGGCCGCGGCCACGATTTCTTCGTGATTTCTCATTTTACTTTACGCTTCACAATCACGCCAGAACACGCACACACAGACAGAGACGCACACATGCAAGCGCTCAAAAATTATTTGCTAATACAGTTCGCGGGATTTGCTTTGCACTTCTTACTTCTTTACGCGGTGAGTGTATGGGTGCGTGTGTCGCTCCCAGCAGCCTTTGGTACGTGTGTGAATAAACCGGTGTTGTTGCCACATTCGATGCGGATATTTAAATCCAAATACGCGCCACATCATTGTTCTCCTAAGGTGGTGTTGTTTATAAAGATTATAATTTTAAATTTGAATTAATTTCTGTTTTATTGTTGGAGTCGAATGCACTGGCGATCTGGTGGCGCTTCACTTCATACAGAAGTTTCGTTTGGATAGGAAAATAACGGTGTGCTTCCAAATGAGAGTGTGTGGTTAAGATGCCCCAAATAAAAAATGCTCTAGTCTACGAAGGTCGAAATTGGGGCGCTCGAATCTTAATCTCTCACTATTTTTATCCAAACCGTTATTAGTATTCTCGGCTCGATGCTGGTCATACCGTAAAATACTGCTCGTCCATCAAAATAAGGAGTCGCGCAATTGCGTTTGTACACTGAAAACGCCATAATAGCCAATGGAAACCATTATCGGTGTATGTTGACTCATTATATTTCCTCGCAAATGGGTCATAAAGGTATTGAGGGTTAAGGTTTTAACATGATGCGGGGCCATGTCACACTTTAATCAACCATTTAAGTTTCCACAACAATATTTTCTGACATCAAAGCTTAAATCTGCGAGTACATTTCCCACAGGTTAATTATTGGCTTAAAGCATGTTTGTATATTCGAAGAAGTAATACTAAAAATGAATTCTCCAAGTAGTAATTATTAGAAATTCAAATGAAAATAAAATGTCGGAGACGCCCACACAGCGCTACTGCCAGCACCTTTAGGCTGGCGACAATCCCAGACATTTGCTGCTACAATCGAGTATTCTTTCATGCAGTCACAGATCATATCGCCGAGTTTCTCATACAAAGAAGCATGCCACGATGAAATTCGTCCGCCGTCAGCGTCTAAATTGGCAAATGTTTTTGTAGGTGCATATGCATGTATGTATTTGGCTTAGTTAGAGTTGTATTCATGTTTGTTAAATTTACTTTTCTAATTTTATGCGGCTTTCTTGTAGCTACCGGTGGGGTGGGCATCTTGTTGTCGTTGATAAAACATACGAGCCATATGAACTTGTCTAATATTTGTATTCGCGAGTCTGCTACGAAAATAAATTAAATGAATTGCATTTCCTGTTCTTTCAGTTATCTTATTGTATTAGATTTTTTTCAAAGAAAGAACAATGTCTGCACCAACTTTTTCAATACACATTTTTCAAGCCATGGAGCTATATTGCCCAATTCTAGGGATACACAAACGCAAATAATAATAATGTGATTCAGCAATTCCAAAACAAATGTGATATTGAACGCATTCTAGACGTAAACTCAGCTCAAATTTCAACTTTGCGCACTGAGAGACCATTTGAAGTAAGACAATCTTCGGAAGGCAGAGGACGAGTAGTTCTGATATGAGTTCAGTAAATAAAAGAATTTCAAGTTTGAGGTAAGACTAGGCAAATTTGAATTATTTGTTATTATAGTATACTACTGGTACGGACCTTGGTCAAAGATGTTATTGAATAGGGGATATTTTCTTGCTGAACAAATTAGGCCACTCAAGGTTTAATGATTCGAAAGGTACCTACGAAAATATTAGACAAAGTGGAATGTGCTGTTGAAATTTTATGAAAGTGGGTAACCCTTAGAGGATGACCTAGTCAATCTCTCGTATAAGCATTTTTTTCATGAAACATATGTAAGTTTTTTATTTATTTTTTTATTATTTTTACAAACTTGCTTAAAAAACAAATCATTACCGAATGTGAATTTTTTTTTTATAAAAAATTAGAAAATTGATTTTGTTTTTGTTATAAAGTAAACAATCATTATATTTAATTTAATGCCGTCACTCTTATTTTTGTGAACAAGGAATGAGTGAATGTATGTTTGTAGTGAAAGGTTAATAACCAGCGCCTGCTGATCCGAGCGTAGGAGTTCTAACGTAATTAATCCTCAAGGTCTCAAGAATTTCACTAACCACCAGCAACTTACATATGTTCATATATAAGTATAAATTCGTACACTTGTGTGTCTGTTTTTAACCATTTCATTTTCATTTCGGTGACCATAAGTATTCTCTTTGAATCAAAACTCCAAATGTGTGTTCAAAGGTCAAAATATACTTACTGATGGACTATTTGTCTTTCTATATCGACTTAATGTACAGGGTTGATACGTTTACTTACATATACATACATATACCATACATATACATACTTGCTTAGATAATGTATATCTAAGAATACATACATACATACATCCTCCGACTCAGAAGCAATTTAAGTTTTGTTTCATAAAGAAGCGTTAAGGCAGAAGCAAGCAAGGCAAGCTTTAGAGAACAATACAAATGCCGTTAGTTTTTCGCATACAGACATCAGCACAAATACCAGCATATACAAATATACATATTTTTGTACATATATACATACATATATACATATTTACAAACAAGTGGAGTGTATTGGCAACAATAGAAGTTCGTCATAAGGTGATAAAAAGAGCTAAATGGATCACTCAGGACATGGCATTCAGTGCAGGATGAAGTGCGTGGGAGCAAATTAATTAATGACTATTTACACAAGACCAATACAAGAGATTTAATTAAATGATTGTTGTTGTTGGTTGTTGGAGTTTTCATGGTAGAGGTGGTAGTGGTGATGCAGTTGGTAAGTTGGAGGGTAGGCAATTTTGACTGATAAATAGGCGAGTTTCGAAATCCAACTTTAAATGCACACTTTCACTTACCCATCACCCTAGGCGGACACGTGGCATGATCGGGACCTGTAGTAGTCGATATTTCAGAACAGTTTTATGTACAGTAGTAATCCAAAAGTCTAGTAGGCATTAAGTAGTATGTAGTGCGAGGAGCTCGAAGTATATTATGAGCTGCTCTCATAGTTATCATATTGTTACTTTGTTTCTTTTTATTTCGTTTTTGATTACAAAACTAAAGTTTGTCCTTTTTTATCTTCAGCGATACGCATTCGACTCCACATGGTTGTTTTATTATTTACGCTATATTTCTTTGTGTTTTTTTGTTAGTCACAAATGCAAAGGTTAGCTGAAACCGCTCTACTTAATGTACCCTGAACGGAAAACATCCTAGCTTTTGTGTTTATTTGAATTTTAGTCACAATTATTTTTCTGTTATTATTTCATAAAATTGACGTGTGAAGTTTAATTGTAAAAAGTCTACGTATCTACGTGTAAAAGAAATTGCAACTTGTCATAACTGCTGTTTTTTGAATAAGTGAAAAAATTTCAATCTGAAGCAAATCATAGGCTAAAAACTGCAACTGCTTGCGGACTTTTGTTTAAAGAACCCAAAAGAAGCCTGAATAAGTTTATGCAAATCTTCATAAAAGATGCTTAAGAGGTATATAAATGCTTCAAATATCACTACAAAATATGTGAAAATCATCTACATAAACACGTATGAAATTAACTTTTAAAAATGGCAAAATAAAATATAATTACGTTTATGAGCACAACAAAGAACTTACAGAATAGAACAGCTACAAAATCAGTATCCTCGATAATCTTTAATAGTATCTTTGAATTAACCTCTTCAATGCGATCGGGCAGGTCCATGGCCTCGAGAGAAGTGAGGAAATCAAGTACGCCCTCCTCGTCCATGAGATCGCCATCATAGATAATTGGTTCTTTTTCCCTGTGGGTAATATTTTTACATTAGTGTATATGACCTTCCATGTCGCTTTTGTTTCTCTATGTACTTATTTTGAAGAACAATAATATAATTTGCTATTCTGCTTAATTTTGAGAAAATTCACACCTAATTAGTAGAGTATTTGCCGTGATGGCAACTAGGTTTTTTATTTTCTTTAGATTAAGGACACGAGATCTTGAACTGTTTTACTACGTAACCTTGTTTATGTATGTACAATAGTATATGTATTAAAGATTGGTTAATTATTTACCTAAAGTAAGTGAGTGCTGGGAAATTCTTTATTCCGTATTGCTTTGCTAGTCGTTTGTCGTTAATCTTTACGAAGTCGACACCAAATGAATCGGTATCATCATCGATTTTTTCGAGTTCTGCTAATACTTTGTCACAGGTGATACAGCTTCGCGCATCTGGAATTAAAGCAAAAAAAGAAAAATAGTAAATAAGAAATAAATAGCGCGCACGTCTTTCTCAAAGGCACAAAAATTGTATATGTAATTATGGAAAGGCATACCAGGACCACGTTTTCTCAAAATTAAAGAAGTGCATGCTAAACCCTTAACCAAAATGACCGCTTGACCTATAAATAATAACTTGAGTGGTACAATCGCTGAATAAAATTTCAAACATATTTCACAGTTTGAGAAGAGGCAAATGGTGTGGGTAATAACAATACCTACGTTGCATACTGTGCCAACAGGTCTACTGACATAAGCAATTGTCTTGCGTTTTTTTCTTCTTTCTTTGATGGAAAATTTCTTCTTCCTACGACAAAAATACGTTTTAACAACATCTTACTTTCGTGCCTTGCAGCTTCTATAAATAGGTATCATTTATTTCCATTCATGGGTTTTAAAAATCAAGAAACAATTTAAAATGTTAAATTCTGAGAGTAATTTGTCATCTGATCCTTTCAAAATGGTACAAACTGATCTAAGTCAGCATGTAAGATCAGCATACAGCATATAAATTCAAATCGATAAGTTGATTTTTTTTAAGCGAATTTTTTACAAGAAAGCAGTGTACATGATAACAAGGAAGGAAAGGAATCGAACCAAGCTATTATGGCATTTGGTTGTTGAGATTTCCACCATTTCAAAGTAGAGGTTCGAAAGCGGCTCATTCATGCCGAATGTGCAGAATGTGTTTACCGTTTTATGTTAATGTATTTTTAGATCTCACAAAATCAAAATTACTTTGTAAAAGATGATGCATCCCTTCAGTAGGTTGTCTTTAAAAAGAAGACATCTTTGCATGTCTGAATATGCAAGTACGACGAGGAGCCCTTAAGCATAGCCAATGCAACAATGCATTTAATATTAATACAACAAACATACGTAAGTGTGTGTGTGTTAGTATACAACTGTGGGGGTATCCGAAGATCTTGAATGAATGGTAAAAGCAGCATTTGCGAGCGAGAGCGGATTATTAATGATCACTAAACTGCCAACATTTTTTTGAATTAAATCATACAAATTTATGCACAACGATTAGGGTTGCGGCTGAGTGACCGCACGCCGCTTTCAGCCACTGCCAACTGAACCCCTTGTCAGCGCCCGCCTGCAGCCGCACTACATTTGATCATCGAGGGGCGTGGGTACTTGAGCAATGGTACTAGTAATTGTAATTACAAGTGCTGTGTTTGCGCCAGAGTTCGTGCAGGAAAATGTTTGTGTGTATGTATTGCCAATTCTAATGCATTTTGACTATTATTTGACATGTATGTGTGTATGTACTCATTCCATTTGGCTAGGTGGACTGCGGCTGGCCAATATGTGCAACGGTTTGAGCACCATATCTGATTTAAAACTGAAAGATGACAACGCAATGAAATTAAAAATAAATCTGCAAAACTGTCATCGATTAAAATTTGCTGACGTGTTCGCTGTCGCCTCTCACAGTGTGTGAATTGGTTGTGTTAATTACATGCCATTTGAATGACTTACTCTCTGAGGCCGGAAATGATTTGTTGTCGATATTTCGCTCTAACTTTTTGCGGAAGATATCACAATTTCTTGATTTATGCTAGATATTTTATTAAGTTGCAAATTTATATAAAATATTACCCGGTGGACCGCCGAAACCAACCAAGCTTTTGACAAACTTTAGTAACGAAAGTTTAAGGAAATAATATCAATTTTTTTTAACGATTTCCCCAAAAATTGCAGAAAGCATAGTTTGTAAATGAGAGACTTCAGTCGACAAGCACGCCTATCTGAGATATCGCAGTTAATTTTATCGTTGGAGATATCAAATTACTCAAGTATATAAATTATGTCCATAACAACTAAGGAAGTATGCTAAGTTCGGGCATAACAGAATATTTTATACTTTCGCAATTCTCAAGAATCAAAACCAAGAATTAGATGGAATTTAAAACTGTGTTGTATGGAGAGTAAGTTTGGTTGTAGTCCGATTTCGTTTAATTTTCACACCGTAACGTACGAATGTCAGGATAATATTACTTAGCAAATTTGGTTGCAGACGGTCGAATTTAGTAGTATAACGCCTAACAGTACCGTTATATGGGGAGTGGGCGGGGTTATAATCCAATTTCATTTATCTCTATATTGTTGGTATGGCGCATAAGGGATTTATCCAGAGCGAATTTGGTTATGGTATCTTAAGTCCTTTTAGCCCACAGGTACCCATTTTTACTGCAATCCCCAGTGCCAAATCACAATTGTATATCTTAATTTCATGCTTAGTTATGACACTTTACATGTTCTATGGCGAACTCTTCCTCCATTTTCCGTTTCGTAAAGATATCTCAATTTTTACTCAATTACTACACTCGGAATTCAACTCGTCTCGTTATCCTTATCATTTGTATACATATGAATATATAACCCTATATAACTCTATTATTTTTAGGTGATACAAACAAGCGTTAGGTGAACAAAACTATTATACTTAGTGCAACATGTTGAGGGAGTATAAAAATATAGTACGAAATTATCCAAGATAAGAGCAGTAATACAAAAACAATTCTCATTTACTCTGAAAATTACAAATCTACATATGTCAAAAGATGACGCTACAACTTTGTAAAATTGATAAAGTTGAGTTTTTCTTAAACGCTACACATATTTTTGAAAAATTAAAATAAAATAGTGGAACTACGCCAATATAAAGGATTTTACAAGCTGCATATTTTTAGTTAGATTGAATACACTTATGTAAGTATTTAAAATATGTATATGGACTCCAATTGGTGTGTCGCTTCGCGGTTTCTATTAAACATATTAATATCCATGTTATTTAGCATTTGTTCGATTATCGCCAGTATTAAGTTTATAATTTCAATTTTAGATATTGCCGAATGCACACATCACTGATGCCACATCTGGGGCTCTAATGCAAGAAAAGCAATTTTCATCACACACAAAGATATTACTCTATACCATAAACTCAATTGTTTACTTAATCAACAAGCGTTATTTTCATACAATGATGATCTTTCCTGTATATTTTCACCCATAGGAAAATTATATTTAATAATTCTCAGCAAAAATTTAGACATTTTTATCTTTTGATTGTCTTCTCCATTTTATGAGCATACATATGTACACATGTACACATATACATATAATGCTCGTGTGTAGAATTTTTACTTTTACGCTGCAAATCGAATGAGTCCATACATTGGAAGAGTTCATGTACTCTATTCTATCTATAAAAGCAAATTTGGGATGGCATCTTCAGATTAATTAAATCTTTTACGAGTGCAATTTCGAATGTGCAAAATAAGGTAGGAGTGTTTGAAATTTCGTGCATCCTATCGCGGCGTTGAAAGCAACTCAAAGCGGTAAAGAATTTAGAAATATAGTAAATGGATTTTTTTTCGTCACTTTTTTAGTTTATAAATTTTAAAGGCGTTTTTCTCATAACTACTTTTTAGAACGTCCAAACATTTCAAAACTTCTGTTTTTTTCTCTAGACGTTCTGGGAGAAGCTCTGTTAACGGCTTATGCTTCAATATTTCTGCACGAAAAACCTATATTGAAAAAAGTATGATCAATAATGTACAAAAGGTCCGAATAAAGTACTCAATCAATATTTAAGAAATAAACAAGTAAGCCTACATCATTACAAAAGGTATAATCTATTTCAAAATCTTCCGCTCTACAAAAAATGTCGAAATATTTCTTTCTTTACCACGAAAAGTATACGCAGTAGCTATACACCAAGCTCACTGGTATCAGTAGTCCAGTAACTGAGCATTCAATTAATAAATACCATCTCCTGTGGAGGACAAATGGTGTGGTTGCTATTGTAGCAGAAAACATTTCTCAAACAGTATTAAGTCAGCCTTAGGTCAGATCAGCCGTTGATTAAATACACTTACAACACAGAGCGTATGTAAGTGTTGGATAATGTTGTTGTTGTGTTGCAAAGTTTATTGGCCATTTTCATGCCACAACTTATGAATTAGAACTCAAAGGCATTTCAAGAGCATAAGGTATCAACAATAACAGGTTTTTATTCTCCATCTCAGCGATTTACATAATGGTACGTACCCCATGATGGTAAAATCGCGAACGAAGCAATAACATATAAATGGAACAATACAGCGCGGGAGGCATTAATTTTTTTTTTTTTTTTGAGAATATTGAATAATGTTCGCAGTGTTGGGAAAGTTCAAGTGCTCCCACACAATGCAATTGATGAAAAGAGCGGAACTGAGCTAGACCAGAGAACATAAAACAATTATTTTACCCTTTTATGCTCTCCGGTTAGATTCTCTTAGTGAGGGAGCTTGTTGGTATCATGGAAAGCTGAGCCAGAGAACAGAAAAGAAATTCTTTCATATTCTCTGAAAAAGAAAAGAAATTATTTTATGATCTCTGGCTGAGCAAGGTGAATTTCACAGGTGCACCATGAAAACCAACTGTTTGTCCCTCTTTGGCGAACACAACTACACTCATATTTCGCTGTTTCGTATGTGTTCGTAAACATTTACTGCCAGCTGATGTGCGCATATTTAGAGAAGCAAATAATAATAATAAAAAAATACGAAACAGCAGCTATCCTTAAGCATCAGCGACAACAACAAAACAGTTACCAATAGACGTGTATGCTTGCGGAGCTTTTCAAGAGTCACCAATACTATTTTAATGTATATTTATGAACACAGCGTAACAATTTAAAAAATTTTCGAGCGCAGAATTGTTCACATTTTTGCCTTAGACGTTTTAGTGTGAGAATTTCAAAATTTCTTTTGCTTTTCGATTACTTTATTCATTTCGACTTTTGTGATTTTATTTTCTATTACTTGTTTCACATTGCCTTTTCTTATTGTTGTTGTGCATGTTATACGTTTGCCATTCTATTTTTTACTCATTTTTGTGATTTAATTTTTTGCTGCGGTTTTTATATAATACGTACATATGTTTACCCATCGTTACTGAATTGGAATGCTCAACACTATTTCGGTCTTCTGGTTTCGATGCTCCGTACAGTTTAGTTCACTTTACTACACTTTTTCCCTCGATTTTTATTTAGTTCAACCACTTTGTAGGTATGTCCATATAATTCTTTTACTTCTTTAATTTTTTTATAGCACCAGTTCTTTCCGGAGAAAAGGCACTTTTTTATTTTTTGGTATTGTTTCTGATTGCTGATAACCGGGTAATTCTAGTAATGCCACCTACTCTATTCATTTGGAACTGTGTAAATGAAAGTGTCAACCCCCTTCCCACATTTAGAATACTTACACCAGAAGACGGCAACATAATCCTTCTCGGTCAATAATTTCTCCAATTGCTTGGCATTGACCTCTTCGATTACAGCTTCGGGTTCGATGGGTGCCGGTGGTGGCGCTACTGTGGCCTGTGATCCCTTTTTGTTAGCACAGTCTACATATCCGGGAAAACTGATGAGTGCCAACAGCGTGCATACGCATAACGTCAGCACTTTTTTCCGCGAAAAAGTCATACTTCTAATTTTCGATCGTATGTGTGGTAGTCGTTGGCGTTACGACCCCGTCGTTATTTTTTGGTAACGTAACGTTACGCTCCAATCTACACACTCCACTCAATGTATTTCACTCCGTTCCTAACCCGATCCACAGATCCGCTCGCAACGTTACGCTCCGTTTCCGTTCCGACGTAGCTTGAACGAATGAATTTTATTTTATTTTGTTACTTTTTGTTTCCTTTAGGAAAAATGCAGCTGGCAATTTTTCGTTACGATTTTCCGCACGACGTAGACTTTTTGCAGTTGGCTTTTATATATGCTTTAAATTAACTTAAAATTAAAAATTTCATCTGTGAAAAAAAATTGAACTAGAACCAGAAAGAGAAAATATAAAAAAAATTGTCGATTAAATAATTGATGCTGGTGGTTGCTCAAACAATATAAGGGTGATCACTTATTTTTTAAAACCTCATTAATTTTAAATTATACAAATTATTCCGATAGCTTTAAGAACTTCAATTATTTCAATATTATTTCCGAATTTTTTTCTCAAACACTTTAAAGATTTTTTCCAAATATTTCTAATTTAATTTGCTGCAAAATCGGATATATTCGTCGCTCAAAGTAATTTTCGATGATTTAAAATGAACATGTTTTCGATATATTTATATTTTTAGATATGTATATATT